AAGATCTGAAAACATATAAATAATAAATGACCAGTGAGATTTGCTGATACAAGCTAATTTAACTCAGCAAACTAAAACGATGCTTTACTTTGTGTGATGTTACAATGTATGATGTGAATGAGCTATAATATGATAACTGAAATTCAGTGTCAGTAAATGTAAAGTAATATGCGTAGGAGAATGTGCATAGAGATGGAGGAGCAAAATTGCTTGCTGTATGTACTATGAAGGATTTTTCTAGGCTCTCTTTTTCTGAACTATGGTAGTTTGAATTAGAGTGGTTAGGAGGGATAGTATTAGAACAGGATTATTTCCAATTCCTGTCTAAAAGCTAAACAGTGTTAGGAATTACTGAAACAGTAGTAGCAAGGAAAACAGGAAAAAACAAACAAACAATGACAACAAAATCCACATGGTTTTGAGTGAATCTGGAGTTTCTTCATTTTGAAGAGTATGTGCTTTTTTGGTTGCTTCAAAAACTAGAAATGATGTACCATTCAGTGACAAGTGCGATCAAAGTTATCGAATTACTTATGTATTGGGAGAAGTTAAGCTAAGGAAGTTAAGCTAAGGCTTTTGTTCTGCAGAGCTGTGTGAGGTTATGATAGAAACATAGCTGGAATTGGGAGTGGGACTTTGAGAAGATAGAATATTTACTGTTTCTTATTGTACAGCAATAAAGAGATATCAGTTCAGGCAGATCTTGTGAACTAAGGAGAAAGGCTGTTTTTTCTTTTCTCTCTTTCTCTCTCTCTTTTTTTTATTTACTACTGCTAACTTCAGTATTTGTTGTAGCAAAAGTATGGCAATGTGCTGAAAGTATTTATCTGTTCAGAAAGAAATCCCAGTAAAGATGTGTCGGAAGATATGTCAGCCCTTCTATGGGTCTCCCCCTCTATAAGCTAATGCACACAGCCCACCCTCAGCCTGGCAAATAGAAAAAAAAAAAAAAAGAAAAGAAAAAAATGGAAAAATGAGAAGTGTTTTGCCATTTTTTTTTCTCCAATTTTTTTTTTGGCTGCAAAATATGCAAATACTCAGTCTGGTCTGCTATGGTTTCCATCTGTGTCTGTGAAAACAAAGTATTGGTGCCTTTTTCTAACTAGTTTTGAATAGCAGCTTTTTAGTGGGATTGCCACTTGGAGACAGTTGGTTTCAAGTTTATGGGAATCCATAAATCACTTTGGTACAGCATTGTCAGTTGTATTTTGGGTCTGAATGCAAGATCTTGGTGTTCCTTTTGGTTGTAATCTCCTTCAACTGGTTGAGTTGTGTGCAAACTGACAGCATCACCTACGTGCTCCTTAGATTAGGAAATAGGGGAGCCAGAGCAAGGCTTCTGCTATAGCTTGTAGTCACTGACAGCAACTGAAAGCAAGTTCAGCTTTTGGGTGTTTGGCAAGTGGGAAGTAAATCAGCAGCAGCAGGCTGATTCCTCTTCCCTTAAGGGAGAGGAAAAAAAGAAGGAAGAAAAAAAAAAAGAGTGCTATTGCTCAGCAGGGATCAGTGAGTAACCTACCAAAACTAGAGGAAGTTTCTTTTGCGGGAAGTCTACTTTTTTTTTTTTTTTTTTTTGTAATGGATAGAAAAACTCAGAGTGCAAGATAGATGAAACCACCCAAAAGGCAGCTAGAATTTGCTGAGTTGCTTTAAGTCCCTTTGTGGATACATAGACATCCAGTGGCAGGGAACTAGACAGGGACCTATGTGCTTAGAAATAGCATTTCTGCTTTCCCAATCTATAGTTTGGTGAAATAGAATTTTTAAACCTTTTCTAGAAAGTCTTTCTGCCTAAATGATGCAATAAAAACTATCAGTATTATTTATACTGATAGTTCAGTATTGCTATGACAAGGTGAAAATTATTGAAGTATTCTAGCTCTGAAGGATGTAGAGCTTAAGCAGTAGTTGATTAAAAGGACACTTTTTGTCTGCTTCTGGTATCTGGTAATTTTACTATTTGCAGATTTCATTCTGTCTATGGCTCAGCTGGTAGAAACAAAAGATAGCTTTGCTGAAACAGTTTAAGCATAAGAATTTTTCAGATTCTTCCTTTTGGAAGTGACAGGCAACTTGGCTGGTAGACTAGTCTGGCCAGGAACTTCCCAGGAGAGTAACAGTGAGGTGGTTCCTTCAGCTTAATACAGATGCAACTGGAAGACATGTGAGAAACACCTTAAACAAAAGCTAAGCTTGGTAATTAGAGAAAACCAATGTTCAGTTTTTCCAGTATGGTGTTTGTAAGACTGCAGATAGGTGACCTGCAAAACTCTTGGACTGCTTCAAAGCTTTGAAGGAAGCCTGTCTTTTATATATATAAATAAATAGGCAAAATTGGACTGCACTAGAAGTAATTAACAAAGGTTCAAAGTTTAGCTCGATTCTTTCATTGTAAAGGAAAACCATCATGGCAATGCTGCATAAGACTGCACTTGTTTTTATTTCTCCCTGCTCTTCCAAAGAGTGCCAGGCCCTTCAGCTACTTAAAAATCAGTCATTGTTGGGATGGACATATTGGAGAGGATTAAAAATGACTAGCTTTATGCTTTCACTACTGGCAACCCCTAGTTTGCTCTGCCCTTATATGCTGATCTGAACTTGTGTTGCATTTGTACTGATTCACAAGAGAACACAACTTTCTGCCCTATTGTTTGTTAGAGTGGTATTGTTGCTACAATGGTACAGTTTTAATCCACTGCTGTCTGTCAAACTCCTTTAAATTTATTTATATATTTATTTTTTTAAAAAGGATTGTAAGTACCCCAGTTAATCTTTTTGGTATTTTAAATTCGTCTTCAATGTCTTAAACAATTACAGCCATCTGTGAGAATCAAAGTGAAATAATGTTACACTGCAATCAGTAGATCTGACTGTTTTGCCTAGCGCAGGCAGTGCTAGTGAAATGTGCTACACTGGCATGTAGTACATACCTTCTTTCTCCTGAATACTTCTAAGCAGTGATTGCCAGCAGAGCCTTTGACTGTCTCCTGTAAAATTAGTTTTGCATCCCCTTTGTTTTGGCATTGTTTTACTACAACCAAAGAGTTCTCTGAATCTCTGGGTGAAATTAAGATTAATGTTAAGTATGTAGGGAAGGTCGTCTCTTGTCTACTTATTAAGTTACTCTGTTTGTAACAACTGATGTTTCTGAGAGGCAGTGAGAGGCTCAAAAATAATGCATTTCCCATTCAGATGCATAAGCTATCAAAAATGAGATCAAAGGGAGTCTCTCTGCTGGCTATGCATAACAGGATTCTCAGTTTGGAAGTAACACTAGTATGAAAGGTGGTACAGCTGGAATCTGCACACAGTGAGCATGCTTTCCAAGCAACACTGCAGTAAGTTTAAATATGTTTGAATTGCTTTGTTTTATATCATTTATAATTTTGCTTTTTATTAAATCAGTCTAACTTGAAAAGATTTATCTGAGGCTAATTTCAAAGTTGTTCTTTATTCAGTTTCTGCATCTTAATATTTAGGAGGCAAATACAGTTGCGGTTGTGTAAATAATGAGGAACTCTGAGAAAATATAGTTGTCAGAATATGCTAGATATATTCTATATGCACTACATAAAGTGCTTTGCATTTTGAAGAATACCAAAGTTAGGGTTGCTTGTACAATGCAAGTTAAACTGTCTTTTACATACAGGTATGGCTGTCCTTGCCACATAGCAAGAAATATACCATGTTTGTGTGGATAGTTCCCCAACACTTTTTTTCTAACAGTGAGATTAGAGCTTTAGGGTGGCCCCCTGTTTGAATAAAAATCTTCTCCCCCTCTCCACTCTCTCAGAGCTGTGAATTCATTTGCTTCTTCATACTGTGACACAGAGCTGGTTTATTCCTTTTTTTTTTATGCTGTAAGCTGAAGCTCAGTATGTAGGACAGCCATTTACCCAGTAACCTGAATCCAGAAACTTCCTCAGTACTGCACAGGTGCTGTGCAGTGGAAGGAAGAGTGCTCTCAGCTTCATTGAGCTGAGATCAGAATTTCCACTTTCTTTCTGCAGTTTCTTGCTTCATTGGCTTAAACCTCAGACTTCTGCAACCAGTAGTATAAGGATCTAATAGGGGAAAGCCAAGGTTTCCAGAGAACTTTGTCCTAAGTAGAGCAGAGTATTTGAGAAAGTGAAGAAGGAAGTGTGTAACAAACTTTATTCTTGTGCTAGTTGTACATGGGTGGAATGGTTAACACTAATTTATTCTGTTAACGCTAATTTATTCTGTTTTCAAATATTCAGTTCCCCTTCCCCACACCCATAATCTCCTCTTCAACTATGTCAATAACCAAGCAAAAGAAAAAAACAAAAATGCTTACATTTCATCTCGGACTACTTTGATTTCTAGGATCAATTAGTAGTTTTAGAGCCCTTATACTTACTGTATGGGTTTCTGCTATTTAAATTTAGTGACTCATGGTGTTAGTAAATGGTTCCCTTCCCCACAGAGCAATAAGAGAAGGAGATGACCCCCATTTTGTTGCCGGGTATCATAAACTGTGAGCTTAAAGTAGAACAGTGTAGGCTCAGCTTCTAAGTTCAGACCATCTAGCAGGAAGTGTGTTATCTGATAATGAAGAACCAATGCCTGTTTATAACTACCCTCATCTTCCCCTCTTCATTGCTCCTGCAACTCTTGCAATTCATATTCTTTCAGCCAGGTTTCTCTCTCCTGTCTGGCAGTGTGCTAACAAGTTCTTTGAGATAGTGCAGCAGATAGTTTTTGTTCTCCCTTTAAATATCTAATAACAGAAGATTTTTTCTTTAACTTATTTTTTTGTTTTGTTTGTTTGTTTCTGTTTTTTAATGACTGAACCATTTCTCCACCAGCCTGAGACACTCTCATCAATGCAGAAGGGAAAGTAAGTGATAACATTTACCTTGTGCTTCTAATAACTTTGGTGCACTCAGGACTGGAGAGGGTAAAGAAGGCTATAAGGTATTGTCAACTTCAGTCTGTCATTTAGCTGTAATTCAGTTGATTAATGTGGATTATTTTAAACTGTTAGTAATTTGGATGTGTATGCAGGCCAGAGGCGAGGTCCTAAACGGGGAGAACAGCAAGGATGGACTGACAACAGGGGAGCTGAAATAAAGCAAGACAAATCTGAATGGAGACCCACTTTCAGGGAATATCGTTCCTATGAAACTGAAAGACAAACAGAATTCGCAGTAGAAAAGTATGTATCATGTAAGGAGGTGTAGGTGTCTGCATGGTGGCGGGGAGGGGGGAAGACTTTGGACGTCCTGAACACCCTCCTAGTAGAGGTGGTTAGAAGCATAGTTGCATTATTAGTGCATGTATTTGGTGTGAGATTACTGTGAGGCAGTTAACATCTGCCAGAGCTGTGCCTCTGAGCCTCAGCGTCCCTGCAGATTGATTTACTGAACTTTTGCTTTTAGCTTTGTATTGTATTTCTACAATTATTCTACAATTATTATTGTATAATTAACAAAAGTGTTAATATCTGGAAACTTAACCCTTTATCTGCAGAACAAATACTCTATTTTGGAATTCTTGTAACGCCAAATTTTACATGTGTGGATTCAAATTAGAATAGATTTCACAGTTCAAATTCAAAATATGAATTTGTCATAACCCTACTACTTGAATAATGAGTGCATGCCCTTTTTACTTTCTCTGTAGGTCACAGAATAATTCTGTCTGAACTCTAAAAACTTAAGAATATGACTATGCTTACTTTTCATCTTACTTTTCTATGTCGATATTTTAAAATTTCAAAGACCATGTTAGCAGCTACATGCAAATATGGATTTGAATAATGGGTTTATTACCTAATAAAGTCACCACAGATATGATACTTAAAAGTGTTTTGTTTTTCTAGTATTTTCACAGTTTTCAATATACAGCTGAAATTTCTATTCCCATTATATGTAATAATTTCAACTTTGTGTTCATTTTATGTCTGTTTTAATTGATACAAGTATGAAAATCTGACCAGAAAACTTCTTTTTAGACCAAATGAAAGATTTGACCGTGAAAGGCCAATAAGAGGACGTGGAAGAGGAAGAGGTGGAATGCGAGGTAGAGGAAGAGGTGGTGGAATTAACAGAAATTTTGATGGCTTTGATCATAGAGGAAAACGGGAATTTGAAAGACATAGTGGGAGTGATAAAACGTAAGTTTTCTAGTGTGTTTATTCTTGTACGCAGTGTACCAGTAAACAGTACACTCAACACAAATATCTGTAAGTGTCCTGTCTTTATTTTCTTTCTATGCCCAAGTGCTTTATCAAAATTCAGTGCTGGCTTTAGTTTGAGGCTCTAATGGAAGAAAAGCTCTTAAGTTTAAGAATACTGTTTTTCTCTCTCTCTAGAGGAATTAGAGCAGATGACAAAAAGGGTGGAAGCGGAGCTCGCAACTGGGGAACAGTTAAAGATGATATGAGGTACAATACATGCTTGTGCCCACCATCGATCATCATTTTATGTGGAATGGTTTCGGTTTTTTTTCTAAGCTTTATTTCTCATGCTTTTTATTTATTTTTGTGATGAGTATAATTTTACAATCTTCTGAACCCTTCTCTCCTTTGTGCTGGTGAGATGAACTGTAGCCAAAAGCATGGTGACACTCCTTGAATGAATGAAAATCTTATTGACTGGGAAGTCTTGACAAGAAATCTTTTAATGGGAAAAAAATATGGCCCTTTCCCCTCACACATGTGTTCTTGTAAGTGGGACTCTGGTGTCTATTAACATCACTCCAGTGCTAATTAAGAACTGAAGCCTAGTTTAGTGGTTGTAAAATCCTGTCCCATTTTCTCAAGTTTTATGTATCATATCTAAATTATAGATGGTAAAGCTGTAAGGCAATGCCATGTATTTCTAGCATCTAGAGATGCTGACCATGATACTGAAATACTTTATAAAGTGTATAAAGTTCAGTGACAGAATTAGGAAATTTATTAATAGTTAGATTTGCCTTATGTCTTTAAAAGTCTCAATTCTGTACTTTTTTTACTTGCTTCTTTTTCGGTTTGCAAAGTAGCTTGAAAGTAACTTGTTCTGATGAGTGGTTAGACCAAATTTTCATGAGCAAATTTTGACGAACCTTCACTTTTTTTAAATGGGAGTGCTCTGTGGACAGAGAAAACTCAGAGTTTCCTGCTTACAACAAAGATCTTTGGCTTGCATACATATTCATTCACAAAATCATGCCTAAAAATACAATTTCACGTTTAGAAATGTGCCTTCAGGCAATTGAGCATGCCAATATTTGTCAATGTATGCTAGATTTATTAAGATTTTCTGGCTAAAAGCTTTTTTGTTTGTTTCTTTTTATTTAAAAAAACCTCTGTGGCTAATAGTTTTGGGTTCTGATGTTCCAAATTCTTCTGAAAGGTGGCACCAACTTTGAACTCTTATTAAAAGATTGATTTTTCAAAATGTGAATCAGCTATGCAACTACAATAAAATAAAGCACTTGTTCAATGGTACAAAATCCATGTTATTTTTTTTTTTATCATGGAAGATCACAGAAACTTCAAGAAGTTCAGGAAAACTAAGGTTACTTATTTTGTCTCCTGCCTAAAACTTTCTCTTCAGTAGCATCACTTTCATGTGTTATGAGTATGACATTGCAATGTCTTCCTGTATAATGTGATGAACCTAGTGGAAGTGATATTAATTGGTGTTGTCTATACAATTCTGAAAGCATCTCTGTTGTGCCTTAATTGCGTTTAATGATGAATTAATGGCAGAAGATACTAACTTTATGAAATGTGTGCTTATCAGTGTAGTGAAAGTAAGTATACTGTTGAGAGGAAAAAAAAAAAGCCAAAAGTCAGTGTACTATAATCAAGTGTTGCCATTAGGTTTCATCTTGGGAATAGCCTGTCTTTCATGCATACTTTTCTTTTGAAGAAGAATAAAAGTTTTTTTTTTTTTTTCCTAGTGTGACCCATGAAAACTTCTTGTATTTTGTGTACTGTTTTAGTGAGATGGAACAGACTGCTCCAATGGAGGACACTGCAGAAACATCTGAGCACCAAGGGGCACCTGAAGGAGAACCTCTGAACAAGTATGGTCTGACTAAAATATTTCTTTCTAAATGCAAAGAAGTAAAACTTACTGATATTCATGACCTATATTGGAAGATACACTTCTTTAAATATGAACTGGGAAATGTTACTAGTACAATATAAAAATACTTTAAAATATATTTTTTCTATATCTTTGCATTATTCAACAGAATAAGTCCCTAAATCTAAAGCATTTAAACGCGGCCATAATAATAACATAGAAACTTTCAGAGTGTTGGTAGTCTTGATGTGCAGAAAGTCTAGCTTAATTTAAACAACTGCAGATTGCATTTGGCTGATTAGTGAAGCTTATGCTTCTAAGATTTTAGGATGACTACCAGGGGCTAGCATATTGTTGGTTACCCGTTTAATTTGAGTAACCTGTAAAAGCTATCCTACTTTTCTTAAGGTAGCCAATAAGGAATAGGTGTTCAAGATACTTGTGCAGTCATAAAACACACTTAAAATACACTAGCATAAATTCTCAAGGTAGTAATTGATTAATTTGTAATAACATGCAAATGTCTCTTATTCATGAAGGGCCTGCATAGGACTTAAAGATTTACTGGGAATGGTTTAGGAATAAGCCTTAAAATTCTGAGAGACAGAAGAGAAATCCTTCCTCTTCTGATATTCATTATTATCAATGTTCAGATGAGAGAATTCAGACCAAAGAAATACTTTTGCCTAAAGAATAAGAAATTAGATGTTTCTGTATGAGTAAGAGACTTGTAGGAACAAGTTAATTGCTTGTAGTGAATATTCCTTAAATGGTAAAAGGGTTTGAAATATATCAGTTTTCTGTTGTTCCAATGACTTCCCCCCCACCCCTCATGCTGCGGGTATATTTATTGGTTGCTGTAGTTCATTTTTTGACTCAAAGCTGTAGTACTGACTAGTATACAAATCCTGATTTATGTGCAAACAGTACAACACCTTAAGAGTTTAAGCTGATAAAATTTCAACTTTTTTTAATACTATTGTTATTAACTTACAGCTAAAAGTTATACATGGAGGGAAAAAGTGTCCTTGGCATTAAATGAAGGCTATTGCATTTCCTAAAAAAAAATGCTTCTAGTTAGCTTAAAACAGATGGGTAGTGTAGATAATTTGGCAAAAATGCATAGTGCTGGTTAATTTAGCTAAATATTAAATTAGCTATTCAACTTTTTAAAACAACATTATGATGCTATTACTCATTTGAGAGTCTTGTATCAGTTTCCTCTTCATGGTAGTTGAAATTATAGCCAGGAATTCAAGATCTTTGTAAATGCGTTCTGACATCAGTTCCATGTGGAACGTAGGACATGAAAAGTATGCTCGGAAACAAAAGCATTAAACAGAATTTGCCAGTTGGCTTTAATCCCTTCCACTTTTCTCAGAACTTGCTAGGTGTTGGTGCTAGGTCTGAGTGAGAGCCATTCTGAATGATTTTATTCCTTTTCATGTTTTTAAAAGGAGCTGTTTTATAACTTCTTGGTATAGGAATAGTCCACTCTGTAGGCTTCAAAAATAAAAGTAAGGTACATGATGCAAACCTCTGGGTAGTATTTCAATGCTGTAAATATTGCGGAGAATCTCAAAATAACTGCAAACTATATGTACCTTAGTGCAGTTACTCCTGAAATTAGTGTCAGCTTGGTGACTCTATTTTAAAGAAAGAATAGTGTGCTAAGTAGTGCCTGTATAATTAGGGGCGGCTGTATGGAATATCCTGTCTTGTCCATTCATGTTGCCCCTGATCTCCAGAGCTATTGTCTTCTGACAGGTGGTGTATATGACTAAAATTTTCTAGCTAGATTATTTTCACCTCTCTAGAGCCTCAAGATTTGTATCTTTTTCTTGCTTGTTTTGTTTTTGAGCCAGGACTGTTCTCATGCAGCAACTTCAAGGAATATATTTCTCCTTTACTGCTTCATTACAGTTGTGTGCTTGTATTGAGATGAAAGGTGAAAAACTTGTGGTTTTGAATGTGTGGGTGTTTTTTTTTTCTTCTCCTCCCTGGTAGAACTGTTTCTAAAAAGGAAATAAGTACCTGGGAATTGGGAATAATCTCTCTGATTATGTGGAGATACTGTGCAACTTTCTGGTGTTGTACTGTCTAGCTGCAGTGCGACTCTGTGAAGACATCTGCAAATTTCTATAAACTGCTGATTCGTGCCTTTAGGACTGTCTGCATTGCTGCCGTTGAGCTTTCATTTGCAAAGTATTGCTAGACAGCAGTTTCTTTTATACTTGCCTAGTGCAAACAAAGTTTAAATTCTCAAGGTCTTCAGGTTCTCTTGACCTTCAACAACATCTCTCTGTGCTGTTTTTAGCACTCCGAATTGCCTGTTATTATTTTCAGGAAAAAAAAAAAAAGTATAGAAGCAGCCAGTGTGGTTGTCCTCGCAACCTCCTGAGTTTCTGCCCAAGTTGTCTTCATAGCCCAAATGATACAATAAATTTGTGTGGCACGGTACTTTGAATATTTTTTTGGTTTTCTTATTCCCCTATATGACACAGTCTAGTCAATTTCTCGTCAAAGGTATTTCTAGAGTTAGTAATTATTCTGTGGTGTTTTCTTTCTTTCTTTCCATCTTTTGATAACATAGGACCTTACTTCTTTTTGGTAGACCTATGTATTCTTCAGATCATTTATTAGGAGGCTTTTAATATTTGCCTTCAAGTTTGCCGGGTTATTTAACTGTCTTTTGCCTTTTTAAAAGTGATATAAAGCTATCCTTAGATTACATCAAATCTTTCTAAGTATTTGGCTCAGTGTTTTTTTCAGTAGTTAATTTACAGCTTAATCTTATTTTACCTTATTGTAATTTCAGAGTTTCTTAAGTTGGTGTTTGTACTAAGAGTCATGGCTTCTGTAAGTGACACTTAATGGGAAAGAACAATGCAAATTTTGATTCAGCTTTCATCAAGAAAGCATTATGCTTTCTTGTATGGAAAAAAGAATGGTCAGGAAATAAAAAGGAGGGAGGGAAATGATTAGAAAAATCCTCCATTTCAGTACTTCTAATGTCATGAAAATAATTGCCTGAGCAGCTGAAGTGAATGCCGTTCTTTTGGTCCTCTGTATGACTTCTATATATTACTGTATTTATGTAAAATAGTTCTTGGAAGAAAGATATGCATTGTAAACAATACATTGTTTGAGGGTTATAGTCATCCATTAAGAACACTGAAATAGTAGGAGCTATTACTGAAAACGCCCAGTTTGCTACTTCTTTATATATTTGTGTTATAATACAATTTCCCTGTGCTTAGAGGCCACACTTATTTATTTGGCATTATTTTGTGAACATGATTGTTGGTGTGCCCAGGAGCTTATCATTTTGATTAATGAAAATACAAAAGAAGCATTTTCTAAGAATGAGTAGTTTATAGGATGGAAGATAATGAACAGAGTGCAATTCTAGGCAAATTTTGTGCCCAAAATAACTTGCTGCAGTTGGGTTTCTATCCAAAATATGATACATAGGTTCCCATTACTGTGTCTTGATAATGGGAGGCACCCTTACGGTTATCCTTCGGATTCTTGCTCTTTGAAAATGAATGCTTTTTGCTAATAACAGGTTTGCAGCTAAAACCATCCTTTCAAATAATGATCCAACCATGCTTTCAAGTTGAGAAACCAAAAATTTGCTGTGTAGGCTCTCCAACAATCCTTTTGCAACAGGCATGGTTGTTTTTTGATACATGTTTTGTACATGTAACATGCTTTTTGGTACATGTTTAAAAATACCTGTGGCTCCTACCAAACGATATTGTCTGCTGTACAGTGATAGCGGGCAATTAGGTCCTAAAGGGATCTGGCCAACCCAAGACAGGACCAGCTATAACTATACCACTCTATCCTGCCTGACTGCTTATAAAACTCCTCCAGCGATGGTTTTCAGCGGTCCCTGAGTGCTCTTACAATATTTCTCTATCCTTTAGCATTTTAGAAGCTATTGTGCTAGTGTTCATTCCCCTTCTCTAAATTTTTTCTTTTTTTTTTTTTTCTTTTTTCTTTTTTCTTTATATTCTCCTCAGCTCCTCTTGACAGGCTTTCCTTATAGGTCTTGTATTTTAGATCTTTTTATTTTGTTGTTATAGCCCGAACTCTCTATTGTTCTCACTCGGCTATGTGTGGAATACAGTACTCAGCTGAGACACCTTGGCATAATCCTTCCACTCTACTAGGCAACCATGTCTGTTCCAAGCAAAACTCCTGTTGAGAAATGTCCTTGTAATGTTGCACCGTTTCAAAAAGAGCAAATGCTGTTGATTTTAAAGTTGGTCTTGACCAATGCATCTGCAGTGATGTTCTGAGGGTCTCATCGGTGAGTTCCTTCAGAGCTTTTACCTCGTTTATGAAATTTCATTCTGTGTTTGGGCAGATGATACTTTTGCCTGAGTGCTTCTACTTGATCTTGGGACTACTATCCTGTTTTTATTATTTTGATTTATTTTTAACAACTTATTTGGCCTCTTTAAGATCTCATAACACTCATTCTGTATCTCAGTGTTCTTCAGTACATGCATTATTGCCCTTTCCTTTCCTATGTGTCATAGAAAATATACTGATCACTTTTTACACTGCAAATACTGAACAAAGATGATCTTTGCTCAAATACACATTTTTTTCTTGTACTAAAAAGTTGATAGCTGCTTCCCACATATGTGTTGCAGCCAATTTTGTGTTTTCCTGAAGGTCTCATCAAGGTCTGATGAGATTCCATATTATGTTGAGAATTTCATGGGAGGCAAGGTCAAGAGCCATCCCTGAAGTTGATATCTAAATTGTTGATTCTGTGTTGTCAGAGCAGCTGTTGCTTTTTTTTTTTTTTTGAAAGAAGTCAGCCTGCCTTTGATAAAACAGTCTTTCACTAAAGTGTTTTGATTTATTTTTCTTTTTTTTTTCCTTTCCCCTCTGGGTACTGCAAATAGCTTTTATTTCCTTTTTAACAAATATTCTCAGAATTCAAGTCTCAGATACTTGGCCTAAAGCTGCCTGATTTCTTCCTCTGTAGGATGACAAACTGAAGGGTTTGGAATGTACTCAGTTGTTTTTGTTTTGTTTTGCTTAGCGTTTTTTCCCCTCCTCCCCCCTTAGAAATAGCTGCATCTTTCAACAGTTCAACATCTTTCATCTTTTTACTTAACATAGGAAATTAAGTATACTTAAACCAAAACTAAAGATCTCCTACTGTTCTGTTCAATGCTGTGATTCTACCTGTCTTGTACTTGGTGTCTCAGGATAATGATACAGTGTTGACTGTCAGGTAAGAAGATAACTCTGTGCAAGATCAATCAGAGAATAAGCCAGCCCTTGGCCTGGTTCTAAATGTACAAAGGATTTGCAGTAAATGAGTCTGTCCTGCTTATACAGCTTCAAAGACAAAATGTGCAGTTCAGTGCGTGATCGCTACATCTTTCCATGATGGAAACTTATTTAAACAGGAAATTTGTGGATTTACACTGGAAAAAAAAATTACTCCTAATCAGGATTTGCGCTGGATAAGTCCTAATCAGGATTTGGTAGAAGAAGACTTGGGTTCTGATCCTGCCAGGGAAGTATTCTGGGGGAAAAACTGTGTTAGTGAAGTATTTAGCCATCTTCATCTATTGCTGCTATGGGGTGAAGGAAAGAAGAAATTTTCTTAAGTATCTTTGACTAATCACTGCAAGGCTTCCTGTAGTTCCTGATAACTGTTTTGGTTCTGTAACAAGAAACAAATGTGATGATGAAATGAGCTGCCCCTGTTTGTTAGGGAAAAGTTTTCTGCTTGTTAGGGAAAAGCTTTCTGCGAGCTCCCTAGAAAGGGAGCCCTGCAGCTGCTGGCCCTATCAAGATAGTGATGGTCAGCACCAGAGCACACAAAGGTCAGAGTACAAAGAGTAGCCATGTGGTGAGGGGCAAAGGAGGAGAAAGATTTTTTTTTTTTTTGTCTTATTCCATGTATCTCTGAACACAGATACACAGATCTGGTTATACAGCCTTTTCTATAGTTCAAAGATAAACGTCGCAGTCTCTGACATGCCCCTCATATTTCGCTAGATCATGTTAGAATTATTGCACTTTGTGTGGCCAACCTGAGCTTGGACCAGGGTTAATATGTCTGGTTTTGGCAGGTGATAAATCCTGCCTCCTTGCACTCTACTGCATCTAACAGAAGACATAGAAAAAATCTTGTGAAATTCACAAAGGGCATAATAATGATCTAGAAGTTTCCAAATAAGGCTGGCCCTTTCCAAAGGGATGGAAGCTGTACTGAAACATGACTGTCTCATATTGTTATTGTGCAGTCAATAGAGCATTGCAATTGGGATGTTTTAACCAACTTGGTAATACATATGTATGTATGCGTGATTTTTATAACTGTGGCTGTATTTGGTAGGAGTAGATTCACAAATGAAACACTAGGGTTGAGAATATGCCAGATCAAAAGACAGACTGTCAAGGATTCAGAGTGCTCGAACTTACAGTTTGATACTTACAGTATCGTTTCTTTAGCGACTAGTGTTCTTGTTCATCCAGGCATGTTGCAAGCTAATGGTTTTTACTTTACAACTATAAACCTTTAGAGTTGCTGAAGGGGAGCCAATGGAAGAAGTAGTTCAAGAAATGACCTTAGATGAGTGGAAAAATCTTCAGCAACAGAGTCGACCAAAGCCTGAATTCAACATCCGGAAGCCAGAATCCACTGTTCCTTCCAAAGCAGTGGTGATTCACAAGTCAAAATATAGCGATGATGTAAGCATTGCCTCAGGAATTCTGTAAGCTCTGCTTTATACCCAGGGTTAGGAAACTGTCTCTATTCCTTTTTCTACTAGTTCTAGCATAATCTGAACAGACTAGAAATCCATATTCAAGCTTTGTTACTGTAATCGTATATGTGCCCTCAAAGTTGCCTTAAGCTTATTATCCATTCATTTTTCTTATCTTAAATCATCACTTCTATGTCATATAATGTATCAAATAATACCTATCTCAAAAATTGTTCTACCTTATAGTTCAGGTTTAGTGATACAAAATTTGTGTCCTTGCTGCTGCCACCTATGTAGATGTCTGGTAACATCACTATAGAAACTTAGTTTACTAAACACTTCTTGTATCCTAACTTGGAAACATGTTTAGAATACTTGTCATATATACTTGCATGTATATATTAAATTCTGGTTTTGGCATCTGCTAGCCAAACAGATGCCTGAGTGTCCTGTTTCTCATCTCTGTTGGATTGCAGCTTTCAGTGTGCACTTGGACTATATGAAGATTTTTTTTTTTCAGGTTTAGGGTCCTACTGCTTAAAAATAACTCTGAAGAGTGTGTTCTGTATTTATTGTGCTTTTTCCACTCCTCTCCCAAGCGCTTTCCACTATAGTACTCATATTGACTCTTTCAGGGAGGAATTGTACTTTATATGATTGGTAGGTTTTGGGGAAAGGGGGAAGGATCACAGATTTTTCATCTCTGTGTTTGTATACAGTCATGGCCTATCATGATGGAGTTTTGATTCTTGGTTAAGGTCTGCGTGCATGTGTGCAATATACATTTTATCCTTTGTGTAGCTCTAATACTAACATTCCAACTTACAACTTTTTTTTAGAAGCCTTAATAATTTTTGACTATTGAGCACTTCTAGGGACAGCCTCTAATAGTGGAGTTGCTTGTGTCCTTTTTAGCACAGTCATAATTGCCCTCATTCCTACCTTGCTTTTTCCCCACCAAAAAAAAGAAAAAAAAAAGATCAATATTTCTCTCAGGCCCTGTGGGATGTATGCAAGTGTCTGAAGAATGCATGCAAGCTTATTCTTTTTGCCCCTAAACTTTCTTAGCTGGCAGTATCAAGGGACCTGACTGAAATTAACTTAGAACAGGAGGTACAGGAATTGCATAATATGGACAAGTCAAATCACTATTTCAGACATTGTGTAAAACAGTATCTCATCAAATAATACTTCATCAATGCATGGGATGTGTTTACATATATTTTGACGTATTCCCTCCATGCAATGATGAGCAATAGTCTTAGATCCACTGGCACCTGCGGACACACAGATATAAGGCAGGAATAATCTCATAGCTATAGATAAATAGAATAATAGATCAATTAGAAGCTAAATGCAGCTATTGTGATTTTAGTATGGCTTTCTAACCCTTACCTCGAGATAGATAGCAGTAAGAAGCTTAAGCTGTTTTTCTAGTCTTCCTAGAAAACCTGTAGATTGCATTGCTGAAAACTTCTCCATTATTATGGAGCTGATATAGAAGATTTTGTCCTTTGGACTATTTTAGTCAACGAAGTAGCAGCTCAGGCATCTAGGAAACTGTGATTGTCTTGCTTCTGTTCACACCCTGTGCAAGCTGAGATCTGTCTCCTATTTTGGATGTCATCTTGACTAATCTGCTGCTTAGTTTGCAACAAGTTTGTTTGAAACAAGTTTGCATTGGGCACTGGGGAGGGAGAAAGTTTTTCTGTGAAGTTCCAGGCTCTAACCAGATGCTCTTTTTAGTTTCAAAAAGAAGACTTTGAAGAAGATTCTCATGTTTTTCGAAGACCAGTGAATGATATAACGTCTCAGCTGGATATTAATTTTGGGAATCTCCCTCGCCCTGGCCGTGGATCAAGAGGAGCGCGAGGTGGTCGTGGTCGTGGCAGGGGGGTTGGGGGGCCAGGACCTCAGCCAGAAGCTGTGGTAATTTTTATTTGTTTGTTTTCTGCTGCTTTTACTTTGTATGACACATTTCATCAGTTACAGCAGAATTATTTCTGATTCCTACCTCACGATATGTTAGTCTGGTTATTTTGAGTTCCTGACCCCTATCAAGTTACTTAAAATTAAATTCCAGTTCAGCTTAGATAACTAACACACAGCTTTCAAAGGTCATATTACTATTTGCTCTAATGGTAGCTAGAGGAAGGGATGCAATGAAGACTTGTTTTTGAGTTTTGATATAAATGGGAAAGTAATTAAAATGATTAAAGGCTTATACATTGCACAAGAATTGTCAGTTAGTATTTCCAGTAGTATCTGATAGTGCTTATCTGAGAGTGAAAGCAGTGAATCTGGGGCCCAGTAGATGGAGACATGGAAGGTTACAATTATTTACAAAGCAGACTGATGCCATGAAAATAGTTCAACTTCGGCAAACAAACTTCCACTGTCCTTTTCCTCTTGAAAAGGACAAGATCTGAATGCATTTGGCTTTTTAAAAATAACAGTCTTTTTCTACGTAATAATGAAATGTCCCAGTTTATTTTTTTTTTCTGAGTAAAATACTTGGCTTTAGTTAAAATTTGGAGGTTGAAGGGTGATATGGAAGTGATTTGATGCAGTTTGCTTCTTCTGAATCATAGACTCTTTTAAGGTGTCAGAGTACAGATCTTACAACTGCAATCCAGATATGTGCAGCAGCATTAGAATGTCAAAAGCTAGTAATGCCCACTACTGAAAAAAAGGGTTATGAATGAGACTGGAAGACTGACATGCTTTATATTTTCCGCTTCAGTGTTGCAGATAATTTGGTCCTGCCCAGGGGGATTTCCAGCATTATAAACATGTTCACACCATAACAATAATGGTATTCATAAGTGATAAATGTTTAGCAATTCTGTGAAAGTGAGTGCAATATACATCTTTAGTTTGGATGACTAGAAGAATGAAACTTTTTAATGGAAAAAAAATGCCAAGTGCTTTTGAAATGCATGCAATTTTTATAAACTTCTTTTTTTCTTTACTTTATAGGTGCAAATTGTTGCCCCAAATCCTGACGACCCTGAGGACTTTCCTGCTTTAGCTTGAAGGAACTATCGTGAATGACGGTGTCGCAAGATAGCTTTGGCATAGCTGTGAAGAGACCAATGTTATGTTGCTGTGGAAAAAAGAAAGCCTGAGTCTACAAGAAAAACTGATTTGTTGAATTTTTTTTTTTTCCTCTGGTGTGATTGCACCCCTTTGTTATTGGAAGGAGTTTCTGTAGATACCAATGGACTTTAATTCTGTCACAGGTTGTTGCGTCTGCCTGTCTTGATAGAAGCTGTGTGAAGGCATATGATACTTTACTACAAGGCCTGAAGTACAGGCCTGAAGTTCAAGTACGGTGTTCAGAATGTGTGAGGTGATTATACCACGTTTTCCAGGATGGCACAGTGAAGTGTAAGCTGTGCAACACTTACAGTCTGGGACTCTAATGTAGTCTTCCCTTTTCTCTGAGTGAGCTGAACCCCTGCACACCTTATCCAGTGACAGGTCACCGTCCTTTGGAGGCGGGCAAATAAAGGAAAGTGCTCATTGGATTGGGTGCGAGGTGTTATTTTCACAAGTCAGAGTAACAGAGTGAAGCTTCTGCTGTTTGACTATAGTCCAAAAACCACAAACAGCAAATGTTACGCAGAACAGTGATCATCTCTCCGGATAGGAGTGATCCTAAAATTAAGACAGCACAGGCACTTTTAACTGATAGCTGACTATAGAAAGCCTTGTTTCAGTAGCAAACTATAATTGCAACTATTCTGAAGATGATGAAGGTGATATAAAATAGTAATTTAGATTTAACGATGGATTAGTTAAGGGACGTCTCTTATTTTTAGCAACTACAGGAGCACCTACATGCTAAAATGTCTCTTGCCTTATCAAGAAGTTTGTGGAACATTGAGGATAAAACGGGATGGTCCTTTCCTTGCAGCTTTAACATGACTTCTAATGTGAGGTGGATTCCCTAACCCCTTCTCTGTCAAAGGGAATATTCGGAGCCATTCTCAGGGATCTGAGAGAAATGAGCGGGGACAGAACAGAGAGAACTATGCTGGACAGACTCAAAAGGACAGCTGCAAGGAGGGCTTCAGATTCCTGCTCAACTTGGACTCTGCCAGTGTGCTGGGACAGCAGGAGGATTATAGACTTTTCTGTTTTCCTGTTCTTTGCCTCACTTTGTTTTATACTGTTTCTAAGCAATCTCCTTTGAGAGCAAATGGCAGATGACACTTGGGATAGGGGGAAACCTTTTACTTGGCTTTGGACTAAGCTCTAATAAGAGTGATAAACGTGTTTAGAAACTTAAAATAACTCTTATCTCAGTCATAAGGCTTGATGCAACTGGGATATAATCCTAGGGAAACCACTGATTATTTGCCTCTTTTCCTCCTTTTTTAATTTTCTTTAACAGAGTGTTTGCCCAAATGGTGCCGCTTCTCATGATGCTGAATTTTAATTTTAAATTTATTTTTTTAAGTGAGATTTTAATTTCCAGACAAAAATCATTTTAATGGC